ATTCCCAGTTTTCTCCTTGTCCACAGCAGTAAGCAATTTTGCCCAAATAAGGAATTATAGACCGTATGATTCCTTGGGCTTTTAGAGAACTTGGGCAAAGAGGCATCTTTGGGGCCTTGAAAAAAATCATCAGCTCTTATAGGCTGATGCTTTGCAGCCTACCCCGGGTCTTGGCCTCTGATGGAGCGATGCCCAAAGAGGCGGCAGCTCCAGGGAGAAGGACCGGAAGCCCCTGCCTTTCGACCCCCAGAAATCATAATGGAATATCAGTTGACCGCCATCTGATTTGACAGGCTTAGTCTTCCCAACAGCTCGCCAAGAAAGCTGTTAAAGCACCATGCCGTGTCCTATGCCGGGGTGAAAACACTGAGGCTTGAAGGGGGAAACGAACGCACTGACTTCGGGCCACACTTCTTGTGAGAGGCTCCTTGGCCCTTCCTTTTCCTCTCTGCCCCTTTTATTCAGCCCCGCCCCGTGATTATCATCAGATAATAATCAGGAACACCGCAAACCCACTGACACTTCACCTCCCTGGCAATGAAAAAAAAAAGGTTTTCCTTCAAAGTAAGTGCACCAGCCTACCTACCCAGAGCTCTTTCCCTCTTCCTTTTCCTGTTGGCCTTGACCCTGTGCCCCTGGGGCCACAACCAGCCTCCTCTCTCTTGGTAGCAGAGCCCTCTGGGTGCCTTTCCCTCTCTGACTGTCAGGTCAGTCAGTATCTACAACGACTTTCCGCTCTCCTCGGTGAGTGGCTGGTCCGGCACATTTTTCTCTCTGAGACCTCTCTCTCTGGGAGTAAGCCCTTCATCCTTCAACTCCTCAGCTTTACTCAGCCCCCACCTGCCCCCCGCCCCTGGCTCCATCATCTCCCGCATCTTCTCTTTCCTTTTCCATTGCACTTTCGCGGCTGCTTCATTGTCTATCCCCTTACCTGTATGATCACTGCTGAAAGCAAATTCCAAATGACTGTATCTCAAAAACTTTGTTAAAACGGTATGATATCAAGATGTGTTCCTTTATGCAACCCACTCACGGGTACTAGAAGTAACCCTGAGTAGACAGTGTGTCTACAGACCCCACTGTGAGGCCTCTCCATTCACCTTCCAGGCTGAAGTTCCAGCAGCCTCCCATCGTGCGTGCGTCGCTGCCCAGGAAGGTCGGCCATGACCCTTTCCCCTTCCGTCTGCCTTTCCAGATGTGCGCTCACCCTCCTTCTCCTCCAGCTGTCCCAACTGGATGCAGGTAGGCCTCCCTCTTGTTTCCACCTCTGGCTTGGTGGGTTGAAGCACGTGGCTCTCCTCCGCTGCCTCTGCGGGCTCCAAATGGACACCTAACGCCCTTGGAGGAAGGAGAGGCACGTCCTTCCAGGGAGCCTGGTCTGTGTCAGCCCCCAACTCCCATCTCCACACGCACCCTGACCCAGCTTGGTTTGTTTGTTGGCGCAGCTCCGTTTGACGTGTTCGGACCCCCAGCGCCTATCCTGGCTCTGGTGGGTGCAGATGTCGAGCTGCCCTGTCCCCTCACCCCCAACGTGAGCGCTGAGCACCTGGAGCTGCGATGGTTCCGGGAGAAAGTCTCGCCGGCGGTGCTGGTGCACCGGGCCGGGCGCCTGCAGGACGCAGAGCAGATGCCGGAGTACCGAGGAAGAGCCTCGCTGGCGAAGGACAACATCACCGCCGGGCACGCGGCTGTGAGGATCCACGGGGTCAGGCCCTCTGATGACGGAGAATACAGGTGCTTTTTCAGGGAGGGTGAAAGCTACGAAGAGGCCAAGGTGCAGCTAAAGGTGGCTGGTGAGTAAGATGGGTTTTGATTTTGTTTATTGACGCTTATGAATATCTATATGTAGATATAGTTTTGGTTTTTTATGTAGCTCAAATTACTTTGGAAACTATCAGATTCATGTTCAAAAGCCCGCAGTTGGAGGCGGCTGGTAGACGTGTTTGTGAGCCATGGGTGGGAAGCAGGTTGAAGTTGAGAGTGGGGCGTGAGTGGCAAGCATGCCTTTCTTGTACAGCTGCATTTCCATCTCCACATGTTCTCCATAGCATTCTTCTCTACCAGTACCCTGTACTCGGTCAAGTCCCGGAACAGAATATTTCCGTTGTGTCCGTGTTTCACCACGACCGTAAGGCCGTGGCAGCTATCTCATTGCCAACGAGGCTGCTTGATAGATCGGTCCCAAAGGACTGACTCCCTAGGGTCGTAGGACATGATGGCCGGCACTGTTGACTCACCCAGAATAGATGGTCCTTTTGTTTCCGTTTCGGCTTCGAGCTGCAATTCAAGTGAAACACGACGATGGGAGGTATTCAGGAGGAAAGTGTGCAGTGAGGCCTGGATTTCCCACTACTGAGGGTCCAGTTCGTACCTGCACGACTTTGCTGCAAACAAGGCATGTTTCCACCTGCCTGGTGACCAGTAGGGGACTGCAGACAGGTCTGTCAGCAGCACCTTGTCCTAGTTTCCTTCGGAAGCCTTCAAAATAAAGGCCCCATCAGACAATGGCTTCAGCAGAGATCTGCTGAACAGTCAAGACAGAGAAGTCTGTTCATGAAGATTATGGTGAAGGGGAAAAAAAAATAGTTGGGGGGAATTCCAAAGGGGTCATAAGGAATCTTAAAGAGATGAGGCTTTCTATGCCCATAAAGATTTACAGTCTTGGAAACCCACGGGGGCAGTTCTATCCTGCCTGACAGGGTGTCTCTAAGACAGAACTGACGCCATGGCAGTGAGTGAGTAAGTGAGTGAGTGAGTGAGTGAGTGAGTGAGGAGCCTCAATGTCAGCTTGGTTACATATGTGGATGCTGACTGCAGGGTCAGTAGTTCAAACCTGCCAGCTGGCTTAAGGGCAAAAATGAGACCTTCTGCTTCCATTTCTCTGAAACCCAGGGAGCACGTCCACCCTGTCCTAAAGGGTGGCCCTGAATTAGGATTGACTTAATGGTAGTGGGTTTTTGTTTAGGTGGGTCATCGTAGTCGGTTTTATTCAGAGAACACAGGAAGATCACAGGGGCTTCTTGGGGGAAAGTTTTACGAAAATTTAAAACTACATTGGTGAGAAATGGACGGGAAAGTTATGCTAATGGATTTTTTCCCCCATCGTGAAAACACACCTACTCATTCTATGAGGCTCGCCAGGGCTGTCCTGCAAGAAGTTCACAAGGAAGCCTTGCCTCATTCACCCTCCAGTCCTAATCTTGAGGCTGCAGACTCCTTTTTGATCCAGAACTCAAAGACCATTGAAAGGGAACACCATAACTGTCCCTGGAAGATGCTAAAAGTGCTGTGGTGACCTGGTGTGGATTGGGTTCTCTGAGGGAAGGCTAAAGGGATAGAAGCAATAGCCTCGTGGTTTGATGATTTGATTTCATAAAGGTGTCTGTGATATTGTAGTAATGCCTTTTTTTATCTGCCCTCATATTAGCGAATGCCATCAAGACAAATTTTCTGAGCCATGTTTTCTAGGGTCAAACGGGGGAAGCAAATCTGGCAGGATTCCTCCAGAATGAAATAAAATTAAGACAGTAGCTGAGATACTGTTTTGTCAAATCTAAACCTATCACACACTTGTAAGCTATTGCTGAACCTTGTTGTGTGCTATCTGGTCGATCTTCGACATGTGACCAAACACAACGACTCCATAGGATGGTCTAGACGGCCGTCTCTGCTGCACTAAAGATTGCTCTAAAATGTCAACTATATAAATATGCTGCCTTCCATGGATACAGTCAAATAAAGATGAAGTTTGAAGATCTTGGGCGAAGTTTGGGCCCCTGCCTCCACCAAGTTACCACTTGTAACAAGAGCATGTGTAGCTGGCACGCTTTCCTTTTTAGGGAAGGAGTATCTTTGCAGGTTGATTATAAAAATGTAGTGATGCGACAGCATGTAACTGTGATTCTTACCTGTGAGTCACACATATATACCTTTGAGAATCTGCTGAAATCAGCAACATGTTTTGTGGCAAGACTACACACACATGGACACACACGCTTGGAACAGCGGTAGTTGTGGACATATGCGTAAAGGCTCTACCATATGTTTTCCTATACTCTGGAACCGTAAGAAAAGAATTAGGCAAAACAAACAGAATAAGATGCTTCTGAGTTAATTTGTGTTTGGACATAGTTTGTAAGAAGAAATGAGGGTGGAAGTATTTATGATTTTTCTACCTCGGCATTGCTGCTAAAAGACACGTAAACTATCCACTAGAATCGCAGTGCAAAGACCCTCTCATCCTTCCCCCCTCCCCGAATCCTCCTTTGTTCATTCGTAAGCACCTGATCCCATTCCTCAAAGTCTTCTCTTTATACTTTCAGCCACAGAGCTCCCTCCTAATGTCTGAAGCTTTTAACCTGCGCTACCCCACTGGGCTTGCCATTCCTCCTAGCTGCACCCATCTCCTTATGTGGCCATCAAACTCTTTCCTACCTTTCAAAGGCCCGCTCAGCAGCCTGTCTGATTTCAGGGGAGGACCAGCGGCTAGATTCCAACATGACAACCCTCCCTGACAAGATGTAAGAAAGTCCCTCTATTGATGCTTCGGTTTCATTGTGAGATGAAATATGGAACTGCATTCCTCCCATTCCCAGTCCCCTTGCACCCTATCAGGGTCCCTGGTGGTGTGGTGGTTAAGCATTGGGCTGTTAACCACAAGAGCAGCGGTTCGAAACTACCAGGCACTCCACAGGAGTCTGGGTTTTATACTCCTGTAAATAGTTCCCGTCTCTGGAACCCACAGGGGCAGTTCTACCCTGTCCTATTGGGTCCGCACAGACTCTATGGCAGTAAATTTGGCAGTGCCCTGCGAAGGGTGTTCACTCAGAGATTCAGCCAACTTCTCTCTCCATAGCTCTGGGCTCTGACCCTCATATCCAGGTGGAAGTTCAAGAGAGTGGTGCGATCCGGCTGGAGTGCTCCTCAGCGGGCTGGTACCCAGAGCCCCAGGTACAGTGGAGAACTCTCCAGGGAGAGAATTTTCCATCCACAACCGAGTCCAGCATCCCTGACGAAGAAGGCCTGTTCACTGTGGCAGCTTCCCTGATGATCAGTGACAACACCCTGGGGAATGTGTCCTGCTGCATCCGGAACCTCCTTCTTGGCCAGGAGAAGGAAGCAGACATTCCCATACCAGGTGAGTGCTGTATCGACACAACTTCAAGGCCACTCTCCCCGGGATACCTGCTCATCCAAGACCTGATAGGGTTGTCAACTTTCCCTACCTAAGCTCCTGCCTGTTGGTTTGAGAAAAGCCACCAAAAATAAAGATCCTGAAGGCACAAACTCTCTAGACTGCATAGAGATTCCGATCTGCCATGTCAGGAGATTTACCTGAGCCTCCTCCTGGGACGCCTTTCTTCTGTCAAGGAGTGAACAAGAAGCCAAACTTATTTTCCTATGTTCACTAGTTTTCATCCTTCACTTCCCCTCCCTGGATTCCCTGGGTTCTCAGAGAAGCACGTCTTCTCATTTATTCCTGAGATACCAACTCTGGTTCAGGCAGAAACCTTGCCTTGTGCTGTCATCATTCTATCGGGGCCATTATGGTACAAGTTTCTCATGGGCGTTCCTCGTTCCATATCCCCTTGGCGTCTAGGGTGCATTGATGATTAAGGAGTCATTTCCAAAATAGCATAAACTGCTCAATAGTATGCTTCATGTCACAGGTCCTGTCCCAAATGAACTCTTGTTCATCTTCAATCTTCCCTCCCCTTCCCTCTTCTCCCTAAGCTCAGCACTTTTCTGACAAGCTTAGTAGCGCCGGTTAGCCTTGCCCCGTCTCATTAGGAGTCAGGAAGGAAGCTGGACTTGCTCACAGCTTCTCCACAACATTCCCTTTGGCTCTTTCTGTTCTAGCTTCCCTTTTCCCACGACTGACTCCCTGGATGGTGGCGGTGGCCGTCATCATGCTAATCCTAGGATTTTTCACTATTGGGTCCATATGTATGACTTGGAGACTATACAGGGAAAGATCCCGAGAGAGGAAGAGGGAATTCAGCTCTAAAGGTAAGTCACGGAATCCCTGGTTACCGGGCAGAAGTGCTGCCGAGGATGGTTGGATCTAAGTACTTCAGAATGACTTCCGGCGGGGCAATACTGTACTTGCTTCTAGAATCAAAAGTGGAAGCGCTCATAAAGATTTGGAAATCGCAAATATTCAAAAGGATGATGAAGAACAGGGGCCTGGGGGCCCAAGCAGAGTCAGAGCAGACTCTCCCTGAGATGGCAACCCTGCTGTTCCCTCCTTATGCACCCTCACACTGTCCTCCCTTCCTAATAGCAGTCTCTCATGATGAAAGGTCTGATAGCAAGCCTGTGCATTTCTTGGAAAACGAAGCAAATGAAATGTCCTCGTTCCTCATATATTGATGATATTTTAATACTCAGGCATTCCTAAATGGAAGACCCCACCCCCACCCCTGTTTGTTTCCCACATCTGTCTTATCCCCTCCATCACATCCTCTACAAGGCACGCTGGTGGCATAGTGGGTTCTGCATTGGTCTGCTAACTACCAAGGTCAGCAGTTTCAATCCAGCAACCACTCATGGGAGAAAAAATGAGACTGTCTGTTCCCATGAAGGTTGACGGTCTCTGAAACCCAAAGGGGGCAGCAGTTCCCCTCCTGTCTTCTAGGGTTGCTATGAGTTAGAATCCCCTAGATGGTTTGTGATATACAGTATAGAACTTTGAGATATTTCTGTTTGCTTTCCAGAGAAACTCCTAGAAGAACTCAGTAAGTTCTCTTCTTCTGGCCATTGTTTTACCCACAGTTTTCTCACTCTTATCCCACAACCTGTCCATAACCACCTCTCTCTTCCATTGCAGAATGGAAAAAGGCTACGTTGCATGCAGGTCGGTGGCTCTGAACTTCTCAAAGGCTGGGTTTGTGGGGGCATTTCACATCCTGGGATCCACGGCCATGGCAGCACCAGCAGCATTTTAGAGATTAGGATCGAGAAGGGAGAGCTGAACCCAATGGCCCCCAGACTTCCTTTGATAGCCAGACACAAGGCCCCTCAGGGAGGGTCCCACAAGGCACCAAGGACAAACTGTTGAATGGTCCTGTGGCTGTCCATGAGGGAGGGACGGAGGGAGGGACTGGAGACAACTGAGCAGGTCAAACGGCTCCTCACAGGAGACTCTTTAGCTCTTGAAACAGTGCTCTGTTTCTCTGGAGAAAGAGCGGTAGGCTGTCCTAAACCTGCTAACACTCCCTGACCTTCTGCCTCCTCCCTGTGTAGTTGATGTGACCCTGGATCCAGACACAGCCCACCCTCATCTCTTTCTGTATGACGACTCCAAATCGGTCCGCCTGGAAGATTCCCGGCAGAACTTGCCCGAAAAGCCGGAGAGATTTGACGCCTGGCCCTGTGTGCTGGGTCGGGAGGTCTTCACCTCAGGGAGACATTACTGGGAGGTGGAGGTGGGAAACAGAACCGACTGGGCGATCGGAGTGTGTAGGGAGGATGTGATGAAGAAAGGATTCGATCCCATGACTCCTGAGAATGGGTTCTGGGCTGTGGAGTTGTATGGAAACGGGTACTGGGCCCTCACGCCCCTCCGCACCCCTCTTCCATTGGCAGGGGCCCCCCACCGGG